TAATCGTGGGCACAGTGAATATATTTTGCACATCTTACTTTGAAAACAAAAAAAAGTTCACTTTAGCCTGTAATATTTACCTAGTAGTTTCTCTTCTCTCTCCCGAGTACTGCCACCCCTTGAGTTCTCTTTGCCCGTACGTTTTTGTTGCCACTGTTGGCTATCACCATCCATCCGCTGGTAGCTCTTGCTTTCCACCACGCCATCATTTCCCATTACCCAGTTTTGTTACGTGTTTGTCTCTCTCAGACAGCGTGGGAGCCTAAGTTATTTCCATGGTTGTTGTAAATGCAATGTAAATGAGAGTTTGGAGAAAATATTTTTGTATTTTGTAATATCAGAGGAATTTCTATATCTTAGGAGTCACTGGGAAAATGCATGCACATCCAGAGCTGTATCCCACCAGAGCTGAACAAACAGTACTTTAGCCCCCCTCAACTTTCCATTTCATCATCAAATTTCTTAAGCATATTAGTGAGAGTTGGAGTAGTTGTTTTATTTTTTAAACTCCATTTTTTTTTCCTGTTCGTTTTGTTCCTGGTAAATAAAGAGAACATTTGCTGATTCATTAAGTCTTGAAGAGGCCTAGGTGGCACTTTGAAGTCTGCTCACACCTGTGGTTTTTAGGTACACTCTCAGTCAAATACAGGAGTCCTGACAGCTGCAAAAGTGACTTTTTTGTTAAATAGGAAAGAACAGAACTACCAAATGTCTGCAAAGTTGTAAATGACCAAAGCTGGAGAAGGAATTTTACATCTCTGTAGAGAATGCTGAAGTTACTAAACGTTGAACTATTATTTGGAGTAAATAAAAGTGTAAATGGTGCAATTGTGTGATGTCAGCATGACGTTGTTTTGAATATAGACTTGTCTTATGGTGCTCTAGTTTTCCGGGTTATGTTAACTGCTGTTCATTACCAAGTGGAAGTCTCAGTATTGCCTACTGCCTAACACTTCAGAGACCGGCTGCAAACTGCTCCTGTCCCTGGCCGACCACCGACAGCATCGCCCTGGTCGAGAGCCACATCAGCGGGGCTCAGCTGTGTTCTGGTGGACCCAAGTTTTTCCTCCGTGTGCTTTCAGCCATCGGGGTAGCAGCAGGGTCACAGGTGATGCCGCTTGTGGAAGTGGTCTCTGGCATCCTCACCACCTCCCAGTGGAAATTCGGGAGGACGGAGGGGCCCTGTCTCCTCCCCACTGCAGGAGCATCCCCGCAGAGCGCGGGGACCCGGCGTTGCCTGCCCACAGCAGCAGCTGCAGGAAAAACGTGAAGCTGGATGTCTCCACACCACAAACTATTGCTAGGAATTTTTTTGTCGTTTGTAAAGGACAATGTGATAATTATTATTCCTTCAAAAAGAAAATGAAAAAGAAAAAAAAGAAATGACACTTAAGTATATTTAAAAAAAATAATAATGTTTTTTTTTTTTCCAGTTGGAATAAATGGAAGTATTCATCCAAAGGGAAGAGTCTCATGAGTATGATTTTACTCTGAAGGTGTGATGGTTAATTGGGGAGTACGGGACTGGATTTCCACTAGGCCAGTGCAACAATTAAAGCATGAGGATCAACAATTATAGCGCGAGGATCAGCTCCATCCCATCCCTGACTCCTCTGGTGGGCAGGGAAACCCAAGGCAGGAGGCTCTTGCCCCCAGGGCTGCTGCCCCCACTGCTGGTTTGGTGTTTAAAAATCCCAGATCTTCACCTGGGGCAAGTCAGCGCAGCTCAGCTGAAATCCCCAGCACTGCTCTGTTTTGTGCCGAGCGAGACTTCAACCTGTAATTTATAAATAACAGCCTTCTCCTCAGACAGATCACAGATCTTTGCATGTTTTCCCAAACAGGCCTGGTAAGGAGGGTAGGGGTATAGCTTTCAGTGACAAGTATGACACTAACTACAGGTTATTATATAATTGGCTTTTAATATGTACAATTTAATTCTTTGTCACTGATTAAAAGCACAATGAATGTTGTCTATCAGCCCTAAGTACCCCGTGCAGCTGAGCTGCCTGAGGACTAACCACTGTTTGTACAGCAAACCCTGAATCGCTCGGCAAATGACAGAGAACTAATCCCTCGCTGGCTTGTTTAACCGCTTGTTGCCTCTCCAAAAATTGAGCTTGAGCAGTAAGTGCTTCTGCCTGCTGTCCAGCAGGGTTAAAGCGTTACTGACCGTCGGCAGGGCTGCACCTTTTCCCATGCTGTTCCTATAAGGGTAGCTCTGGCGATGCTCCCCTCTGTCATGCCTTTTGCCAGCCCAACGTAAAGACCTCACACCGCATTTTGGAAGGCAGAAAGCCCCAAGTCGGTTTGAATTTCAGCAATAAAAGTGTAAACCAGCTAAACCCAACTTCAGAATCATTTTTACTCTTCATATGGGCTCCAGAAGTCCCATACAATTCTGCACATGGGGAAAAAGAAAATTTCATCCTTTTTTTTTTCTTTTTTTCTTTTTTTTTCTTTTTCCCCTTGTTCAGGCTATGATTAACCATTTCTGACAAACCCACTGAGCCTGAGGGCTGGAGCTACAAGCCCGTGAAATTCTGCTCCCTCGCCATCTGGCCCCGCTGGGTTACCCTCGTGCACCTGCTGCCTGCAGGTTGCTGGCAGGCCTGGGGAGCAGGGGGCACCTTGGGGCACCTTCATGGTCATTTCTGTCTTCCCCAGCTCCAAAAATTTGGTTAACATGGCCCCAGCTGATGCAGATGAGTGCCAGGTGGTGGGGGAGGCGGGGATGCTGCTGGTATAGGGGTTTTGCCAAGGAAGTCCTCTCTAGCTGTGGTCAGACTGGCACAAAATCAGCCCTGCTACAAGAAAATAATAAATAAAAAATCCGTTTAGGCCTATTGCTTCCACAGTTTTCTTTTTTTTTTTTTTTTTTTTTTTTTTGAGGACTGGGCTGTCCTCATTCTGCAAATTGCTGCCTCCTACTAGGTTACCATCCTCCATGGCCAGGAGAAGCTCATTAGCTAAGAGCAATTCCAGGGCGCTATTTTAAAGTCTAAATGCCCTGCCTTTTTCTTTTTTTGGGGGTGGGGATATCCCATTTGCTCACACCACCTGACGTGATGTTAAAGAGTAGACTTTATGCAGCCTACTTTCAATCTAGATCCTTAAATCTATTTAGGAATTCAGGTCCTGTTTGAGTACAAGGGGAAAGGGGGAATTGGTGGCCAGGGATGCTGAGGGCCATGAAGAAGCCACAAGAGAGCTGGCACCTGTTTCCAAAAGCATCTGCGAGCCATCACGCTGAAATACCAGCTATTTTCCACAGCTATTTCTATTCTACAATACTAAAAATAAAAATTAAAAATAAGTAAAAGCCTTTTATTCCCAGGCAGGTACTGCTGGATGCTGACACTCACTTGCTAAACATCCAGACACCACTAGAGCCACAGCTGGTGCCAAGAATGCCCATCTGCAACTCCCAGCAGGAAAAAAGAAGGGAATAAAGGATGAAGTTTCAATCATTCAAGTCTCTGCCTCTTGGCACGGACCCACTGGGCTGGGTGCATCCCCCTGTGCTGCTCCACCTGGGGGGAGCGGTGACCCGAGAGCTCCTGCCTGCTGCTCCACCTTGCTGCTGCTCCCCTCCTTATTAGCAGCACAACGAGTCACCGACATCCCTGTTTTAGGCAAAAACCGCAGCCATTTGCTGAAGCACTCCCAGGAGAGTTTTCCCGTTGTAAAAGCAAATATTTATATCTGCTGCGCTCTTGGAGGCTCTGGCTACGATCAGTTCTTAAAGTGAGATTTAGCTGAAAGACCTGATTTATTAAAATGGATAAACAAAGCCCTGTGAAGCGAGCTAATTCAGCCTAAATAAAGCATTAAGCTCTGAAGAGCACCCATCACACACACACACACACACACACGTGCCCATACACACCCAGATGCACACACAGCCCGGCGCCCCGTCCCCTGGGCCATGATCCCACATCAGCTTCACCCCCACGGCCAGGCTGTGTGTACATTAGGCTACGTATAAATAAATTTGTATTTATATAAATTAACACATGAAGGGACTGATAACAGCTCCAGCCCTACAGCCAGCCGGCCCTGGCCACCCCTGCCCAGCTGCTGGCTCTGCCAGGGCTCGGTGCCTCAGTTTCCCCAACTTCAAAGCTCCAGCACAATTATGTTTTTACCCACAAGGAGATTAAAAATCCTAGATTATTTAAATCTGCAATTCTTTTCTGTAAGTTGGTCTCTAATTGTCAATTATTTGCTCACGAGCACTCTTACGGCTGGCGCTGGAGCAGGCTGAAGCAGCTTTTATTTTGGTACTTGGTTTAATGAGTTTTTTTGGAACAGCGGGGCAGGGGCAGCATCCATTCTTGCTGCTCATCACATATTCATTATTTACATTGCCCGTATGCCCAGTAACTCAGCCCAGAAAACAAATAAACAAAAGCTGAAGGGTACACAAAACATCTGGAGGTGCTGCCGTTGCTCCCGATCGCTCGCAAGGCACAAGGGCACGGCGATGGATAGGGCTCGTGTGCCTGCTGAGCCAAACGGGGGGGGTTTGCCGGGGTGAGGACCCCATCCATGGTACCCCATGGGGCTGGAGGTGCCCCTCTCTTGCTCATAAATGAGCCTCATCATTTGGAAAAAAAAATAATTAAATATAATGACATCATTTCTAATGGATAAGTGGAGTTTAATTAATCATTTATTTATTTTTCGTACATTTGTTTTTGGCATCTGAGGGGCACGTGGGGGGAGATGCTGAGCGAAAGGCTTCGCCACCAGGCTGGGAGGAATCAGAAGAAGCCCCCAGCCTCCTCCAGCCCCAGCCGGATGGGTTCGATCACCCCTTGACGCTGAGCCAAGAGGCGATGCAGGGAGGTTTCTGGTCGGAGTGGGGAGGCAGCAGCCTTGGGAGCTCTTGGCCCCTGATAGTAAATACAGCTGGTCACATTAGAGCTCTTGAATAATTTATGGGATGACTCTTCAAAATAGTAAATCCTCCCCCCCCCTTCCTCCCCTCCCCTCGAGCCTGCTCCATCCTTCATCAGATGGTGTGGCTGGTGAGCGGTCTATGAATATTTAAGGAGTTTTACTAAATTCATAGAACCTTGTAAAAACGGTTTAAAAATGTCGAGCGAAATATTTGCATGTCGCGTTTCGCAACAGCTGCGCAGCTACAGGGGCAGGACAGGGGAGCCAAGTGAGTGCTGGTGTAAAATTGCCTTTATTTGGGGCCGAATGGGAAGGGAAGGGAAGGGAAGGGAAGGGAAGGGAAGGGAAGGGAAGGGAAGGGAAGGGAAGGGAAGGGAAGGGAAGGGAAGGGAAGGGAAGGGACGTTTCCAACAGTTTGCTTCAGGTTCTGTAACGGTGGGGGTGAGTTTCCCCGCCTGCCTCCACCACCTGGCCCGGTGGTGCTGGCTGAGGGCCAGTGCTCAGAGGAAGCAGCTCTGTGCATATTTATGAAGGTGATCGCTGGTGGTGAAAGATGCAAAGCGAGGAAGTTGATTTGGGATGCACGGAGACCTGGAGCAAACAAGCGCCGCTCCCCGTGGAGGCTTTATGGCAGCCCCCGAGGCCTCCAGCTTTAATGCTGTTCACTTCGAACAGCCCCTGGCTGGGGGGGAGGAAAGAAAGGTGAAAGTCTCCTGGAATTGCTTTCATAATTCCGAGTTTCAAACTAATGGTGATGAGGACATCAATGCTGCTGAGCATCCGCTGGGCTCTTGGTGTAAAACGCCTTGTATTCGTCTCAAGTGTCAGGATGTGCAAGAAATTTTCAGGTGCTTGTCTGGATCCCTGTTTGTATGCAAATGACACTGTAAAATCTCTTAGTCTGAAAGAGCTGATTTTAGCTGGCGTCAGTCAAAGTACGGCGGCTTGTCAGAGCCGAGATGCTTTGATTCTTCCAGGTCAAAACAACCCCAAATTCCTGATGAAATCTGCAGGCGGTTTAGAGACATGACGGGCAAAATGAAAATGTTTTAAACCGTTTTCCTTTTTGAGGAAATTAATGTCTGGGGATGTTCAGGCAGTGCCTGGGGTTTGCAGGATGGTTTTGGGGACCAGCCTGAGGCTCGCAGGCTGCTGGGATGGGGCTGGCAGGGCGCGGGGACACCCCAGCACCGGGCTGGTTGTTTTACCCCATCACAGAGCACGTCTTGCTGCAAAAGACAAAGAAGGCAGGCAGTGCCCTGCAGTGAGCACCCACCTCCAGCTCCGAAACAGATGGGGTTGCATTTGCAGAGGTGAGCACAATGCGCTCGCAGCCACACAGGCGGTTCTGCATCGCGGCCCCTATCATTTACATGAGGAGCTGCGAGGAAATAACATATTTTAATAACAGCATGCCTGTATCCCTCGAGGACTGGCTGATAAGGCAGTAATCAAGTTTCACCAACACGGAGCTGGATTCCACAGCACTCATTCCTGAAGATAAGGCAGGCCCGGGGACGGCGGGGCACCCTCTTCCCACCGGCACGCGTGTGCTCTTCCAGAGAAGTGATTTCCCCATTACCCACTGCATCAGGCTGCAGCCGGGATATCTAAAGCCACATCAGCTCCCGACGTGCTTTCATCTAATAGCCCTGATAACCACATTGGCTTCGTTTTCATCCTGCGTTATTAATTCGCGGCGCCTCGGGGAAGGAAGAGCCTCACGAGCAGTGGGAGCAGACCACATACCGCAGCGTAATGCCTTCCTCTCGCTGGTGCTCCACGGTTACTTCTGCAGCAAGGGCCTGAGAGAGCTGATTTGCAGCCAGCAGCAGCATCCCAGGGCCCTGCCTGCCTGCAGAGCAGAGGAGAGGTGGCTGCACGGAGCATAGAGGGAGGTGAGGTTAAATCATGCAGCAGGGAAAGGCGCCTGGGCCCTTCTGCACCACCCATGCTGCTCACACTCCTCATGCTTTCCCCCAGAGCATGGTCAGGGGAATGTTTTCTCAACACAACCTCACTCTTCATTGATTCCCTCAGATGCTGGGTCCCTGAATTTAAGGCTTTCAGAAGGCTGAATTTCTGGTAGGGGGGTTTACGGCTGGCTGCCCCCGCTGTGCTGCCCCATTTGCACGAGCAAATTTGAACCCTGAGATGGGCAAGCTCCTAGGCAGGAACGTGAATGCCTGCTTGTCACTGTGCAAATACAAACGTGCAAACGTGGCCCATGCCAGCCCAGCAGGGCAAGCACGAGGATGAATTCACTGAGGCATTAAAGATATAATAGCTTGGTGCTACATAACTTTGTCCTAAATTAAGCACACGGAGTGGGTAGCTGGTAGAAAGCTCTGTTGGACATGTGGTGGTGGTGCCTGCAAACTCCAGTTTGGAAAAGTGGGAAAAAAAGCCCAACTGTTTCCCTTGACTTCGTCTACATTTTCAAGGTCAGTCATCGCGTCCTGTGTATGGAGAAGAAAATGCTAACACTTCTCCAGCTGTTCCTAGACAACTGAAATCTGCTGTTTAATTCCTGGGCCATTTGGTCCCCGTCTCCAACTTTCAGCTAAAAATGTACTGATCTCTAAAAGGCTGAGGCAAGAAGAGGAAAGAGCTTTTCATGTTCTCGAAAAAATACAAGGAGACACAAGTTCCTGTGAGATTTTTACCTCCTTCACGCCATACCTTCAGTCCCATAATTAGGTCTCCTGTCATTTCTTTTGATGCTCTGCTCCACTTATCCATGGCTTTCTGACCCTGTTTCCATATCTGGTAAGATTTTTTTCCATTACTGCTCTCAAAAAAAAAAAAAAAAGGTACTGTTGACCTTCACTCCAAGGACTGGAATCAGTAGAAACTGCACTAACTTTGTGTGTCAGGGGATGGTCGTGGCCTCGGAGCAGGACCTGGCAGAGCAGGCGCTGTGCAGTGCCCCAGGTGTTATCTTTGTCGGCTCTCTTTAGCAGACCTAAACCTGCCAAACACAGGCTGTGAGCACACGAAGCCGAAGGGGTCGGGTGTGCAGGTGGACACGCAGTCATCCTGCGTTCAGGTGAGGGCCAGGATATATTATCAGTGAACACTCCCCACCTGTGAGATGGCACAGGCTTCCCGTCAGGTACCAGCAGTGGGCCCATGTCCCCAAACACCAGATCTACGAGTAGCTTAGCCGTGTGTAACCCCCTCACCTTCTTGTCTGGGGGCTGTTTGTTGAGAAAATTGGAGTATCTGCTGCATGGAAGCCGGCCACCTGCTGCCAGGTGACCTTTACGGTGCCACCCATCAGTGTGCTCTCAGCTGATTTCTGTCAACTCCACGCCTGCCACGCAGCCACAGCCCCTTTGAGGAGGACACAAAACCCAGGAGTAGCTCTGGGCCAGGTCAGCAGGGCCAACACGAGAGCACCCTGCAGGGCTATTTGGGCCTGAATTTCGGCGTGGTGAATTCCTCCCCCATCTCCGTCTGCAGGTGTAGGTCCAGGCTCGCCTCCCTCCCAAACCTGCAGCACTCAGGTGCCCTCCCAACCTGCCCAGCACCCGGTACCCGCTCTGATTTCACTGTCAGCCCTCCAGCAGCAGCACTGCCTCCCCTGAGCCCCCTGCTTCCTCCTGTCGTGTCCCTGGGGAGGGATGCACGGTGAGGTGGTTGAGGAAGGCATCTTGCAGCCAGCCTGGGCATCGCCATGGAAACTCCAGCGATGCTCCCAGGCACTGTAAGTAGCCGCAGTTTTCGTGAGCACACTCACAAGTAGCAGCTGGGATCGGGTCCTTCTCGGTCATCTCCAAAGGGGCAACAGGGTAATGCTTAGGAAATTAAGGAGAGGCATCGAGCTACTTTCAGTGCTGTAATTGCTGCCACGATTCCTCTGCAGTAAGATCAGCCTCTTCCTTGAAATGTTCAATATTTCTCTGCTCTCCCAGGTTTTGCTCTGCTAACGCTGCTCACTCAGTGCTGTGCTGCTGGGGCAGGCGCTGGCCCTGCTGCTGCTGGCGTCCATCCCTCGGCACCCCAGGGCAGGACTTCACCATGCACTGCTGCTCCAGAGCCGGGGGCATTTCTGTCTCACGGCTCACCCCACGCCCCCCCAGCTCCTCTCCCCATCCAGCTCCGTGCTCCAGGACACCGGGGAGAGCAACTCACCTCGGTTTTAGGGTTAACGTGTTTGCATTCATCTCCCGAGCCTTGCTTTCACATCTATAACTCATTTTCCAACGTCTTCAAGCAAATTTCACACTGTTGGAAAAATGTCAAGGGTTTAATCTGATATGTGTGATATTTACTGGTGCCACTAGGGAGAGAGATGATCACATCTTCCACTTCCCATCACATTTCTTACGAGAGTGGAAACGTACCAGGAGAATTCACCGGCTGCAGCTATACATCGTGTATGCAAATGAACATAAACCACACTGAGGAGCACAGGCAAATAACTTCAGATGTAAGAGACCCAAGGAGGAGCTTATGAGATGAAAGCTTATTGTGTTTTTTTTTTCCCCTTGATGGTCTTAGGATACGTGGCTGCACCAAGCAGCCTCGCCACAGCTGCAGTTTAGCTGCATCATGAAGCAGGACTTGGAGCCCAGGGCTGGATTCCTGCAAGCCTTGTGCCTGGTGACAGATGGCTTAAGAATGAAATTAGAGGTAGCAGGAAATAGGCGGACGGATAAAAACCTCAGTGAATCAATATCGGATTTTTTCCTCAGGCAAATTTATTCCCTGGAATATTAGGAGGAAATGACTCCTCAAAATCCTCAAAAATACAGAGGGGAATGATCTGTGAAGGAACCAGCCCTGGAAAGCCCTCCCGAGGGTGAGAGTGGTGAAATCACAGGTGAGGAGGATGTCCTGGGCTCCCCGCCCTGCCTGAGCCTTGCCTCCTCTGAGGGAGGATTTGGGCAAACCCAGGAATTAATCCTCTCTAAAAACGGGTGGTTTTTTTTATTATTAAGGGAGAGATCCCCATTTTAGAGCCTCAACCCATGCAGGGCTCTATCTCTTTTTTTTCCAGTTGCTAAACACTGCACAAGAAAATGAGCCACGAGCAAAATGCAGGCAAGGCGAAACTTCGAACGAGCCCTAATTACACTAATTGCCTCCTCTTCGGCTCACAGGTGAGCTGCGAGGGACCAGAGAGGGAGACCCCAGCAGTGCCTGCATCTCGGGAAGTAAATGCTGTATTTTAAAGATTTTTTTGTGGTGAGCACAGAAAATGCTGCCTTTGGGTTGGTCCTCCCCTGACTGCCTGCAAGCAGGGGCAGTCGATGTGCTTGTGGGGAGAGGGTTGAGCATTTTGGGTGTGTAAAATGCATGTACGTGGATATGTCATCCCCGCCTGGCTGGCTTCAGAGCAGCCTCCCCAGCCCTCAGTGTTAAACTCCGCTGTTATTAATGCAGGGCGTTCTGCTGATGGCCAGATATCAATCAGTATTATTGACTTCAGTAAATTTTGTGCCAAGCTTATAAATATAATTTAATTTCACCCAGACCAAAGGAAAAAAAAAAACAACAACAAAAAAAACAACAAACACACACTGCCTGAAAGCAATATTCCTAAGGATTCATTTTGGACAGACATCCGGATCTCAGAAATAGGACTTGAAGTGTTTGTGGTGAGGAATATGCTTAATTAGATTCATGTCTGAGAAGTCCCCAGCTGTTCTGCAGACAAACAGAAATATCCGAGATTTCTTCCAGCTCTGTGGAGACGCAGAGATTGGCTTCTCTCCCTGTTGCCCCAGCCTGAGAGATCTGCACGTATGATTATTACCCGGTGCTCTGGTTCAGACAATGTGAGATGCCACACAATCTCTGAGCGCACAGCAAATATCCCAGCATTTGGTTTCATGATTACTTCCACCCCGTTCACTTCGGCATCTAAAAAAGCCTTTGCTTTTTTTTTTTTTTTTCATGTGAAAGGCTTTCTGGAAGTTGGACATAACACGCGTTCATTATGAAATGAAAATACCTCATGTGTTCAGGATGGAAAAAAAAAAAAGCCCTGGCTTTAAAGAGAGCTTTGTAAGCTTATTAAAAACAAGAGCGCTCACCATGCCTATCTCTCTGCCAAATGAAAAATTCCCTCTTCTCTTCTCAGGCTTGTGAGTGGCTTTGTGTACCCAAGACATCTCTTTGCAGCGTCCAGAACATTCCCATCGTTAGCCTAGATTGGGATAAAATGAGATGCCAGGAGGGGACTGCAGAGCAGCCACACCTGGACCCCACCACCAGGGAGGTGAACCCACTGCGGATAAAGCCTTCTCAGCTCCCAGACCTTCGGACAAAGCCCCGTGCTGCAGGTTACTGTCATCCCCAAACCTCATGTCTGGGGTGAAGCCAAGACGAGCCCCGTGTGCCAAAACCAGCCATAAACACCACTGCTCGGCAGGAGAAGCGAGCCGCGACCACACCGCCTGGATCTGCATCCACAGGGCATGGGGCAGAGTCCAAATACAAAGGAAAAATGCAGACTGGGAGCTGCAGCCACGATTCCCAGGCTCATCCCATGTCTCACTCCCCGCTGCTCTGTTTTTGGGGGTCCAGCCCCAGGCAGTGGGAGCACGGAGGCAGGAGGCATGCAGCAAGCAGCAGCTCCCTGAGTAAATGCCCTGTGCATCCCTGATAGAGCACATCCAGCCAGGAACTCAGGGGCAGAAAGGGCATCCTCTCTACTAGAAATGAACACAAAACTGAGCCCCAAGCGGGCCATGAGGGACACAAGGGACATGGCTCAGTGTGGGCAGTTTCCCCTGAGCCCAGCACTGCTGCCTCTGCCCAGTGCCAGCAGAGCTCACCTGCTGGGGATGGAGGAGCAAGCCAAGGCCCTGATCAACCTGGTATTGAAAACTCATTTCCCAAAATGAAGCTGCAGGAGGACACAGCTTTGCAGGAAGAGACACAGACTTTTCTAGCTGGCTGGGGACAGACATCTCCCCCGGGTGGCTCACACATCTATCGCAGCCACCTCCCCTTCCTCCTCCTTCGTCGTAGCCACGTGGATTATCTGAACTCTCCCCTTCCCCCAGCACATCATTTCCATTTATCTTCCAGGCAATTAAGACTGTTTAAAAGATGATCACTTTGGCCTTTAAAGCATTTTTTTCTGAAGTGCTTCAAATATTGTGGCAGTCTGGGTGTTTTCTGTTTCAGTAACGGGCTGGTAATTGTAATTAGTTTGATCGTGGGGCAAACTCCAAATCTGCTCTGAATGCGTTCCTTTGAATCTGGTTAAAAGGCGCTGTTTGAGCTGACAATCATTTTGACTGCAGCGTGTGCGAAAGACTCAAATTTTCAGCTTACGGGAAAGGCTCGGTTTACTGCCGGGCTGAGAACCCATTTCCGAGCTCGCTGGCATCTCTGGGTGCGACCGAGAGCCAGAGCAAATATTTCTCTGGGCTCCCACTTCCACGCGGTGTGTTTTAGGTTCCACCAAAGTGGATTCACGGGAGGAAGCTGGGGGCAGTGGGGGAGGCCAGAGGAGGTAAGCACGAGGGGAGGCAGTGCGCAGAAAAATGGAAGGAAATGGCCAGCTGAAGAAAAAACAGCCTCAAGAGCAGAAACGACCAGGGAGGGGTGCATATGGGAAGGTTGAGTAGGCTGTGCAATAAGGCAGGAGCTGTTTGTACCAGACTGAGCACACCTGTAATATCAGGCTGCTGGGAATTCGAGTAGGGGCAGCGAGTTTCCTTGTGCCAGGAGAAGAGAACCCATCCTAACAGCCCTTCTGTGAGTCAAGTGTCCTTTCCAAAGGCCAGAGCATGCTGATTCCTTCAACTAAGAGATGCTCCTGCCTTCCAAATCACTTCCAAGGCAATGTGCTGAATGCAATACGTGTTATATCAGCCTGCTGCACCCGTACAGCACTGCCGGGACACACAGGGGATGTGGAAGTAAGGAATTCAGGCGGGCACTGCTGCAGGCAGGGCTCTACATGGGCATGAGCAAGGGCAGCTTCGCAAAACAGCAACCAAGGACAAGGCTGCCTCCAACTCTAAGGAGAATTGTCATGGAAACTACAAGTAAAGTGGCACAAAACACCAGAGAAGGTAGGTGGGAAAAAGATAGCTGAAAATAGCTGGGAAAAAAAAATAATTAAAAAAAAGACAGGAAAGTCTCCTTGCAAAGGTTCTAGACATTAAAAGTCAACTGAATAAATAGTTTAGTAATTTTAGATGTTCTTCAAAAATAGAGTCTAGAGGGAAAAAGGGAAGCAAAACAGAAAATCATGGCTCAGCCGTAAAGAAAATTCCAGGAGGGAAATGCTCTGAAAGGGAAAAGAAAAATGTGAGTAAGAAAAAATGCAAGTAAGACTCCTGCCAAGCTTATTACGTACACAGATATATCTATATATATATACACATGCAGATAGATATATTCATACGTGTGTTTACATGTATACAGCACAGTGTGTATAGTTGTATGTATAGCTCTGTGTGCTGTGTATGTATATAAGAGCTACTACACATGTGGTTAGAAGGATGCCAGCAGAGAACAAGCGCTCGGTGCCCCAGGCTGAGGCAGGCAGAGGTTCTAGGAGCTCAGCCCGACTGCAGCCCAAGCCCTGGACAAGCAGGCCAGCTGTTTGATGGTCAGACCCCTGGCTAAATGGCATCTGAGCAGGGATGGCCGTCACCAGAAGCATGCACAGATTGCAGCCAGGCCATCAAATTCAGAGCAGCTTGGTGCCAGAGCTCTGAAATATCCAGGGGAAGGCGTGAATCGGGGAACGTAATAAGGGGACAGCTCTGGGTGCCAGCCCCAGAAGCAGAGCAGCAGGTATAGCCCCAGAGGGAGCCCCAGCGCAATGGGGATGGTGCTGGAAGCAGTGGCAGTGCAGGATTCGGTGTGAATATGGAAGAAAATGGGCAAGATGGGGAGGTGCTGTCGTGCAGGTCACGCTAGGAAAACATTAAAGGCAATTTATGCTTTTAGAGAGGAAGGGATTAAATTGTACCAGGGAAAAACGTTAACCTGGAAAATGTTAGAAGCAGCAGGCTGTGCTGCGCCACCCCTCAGCACGCACTGCTGGCTGCGGGCCAGGACAATCCCGTTCCATTTTTTGTGCCAAATTGCAATAAACAGCGAATAAATGGGTATAATGCTGTGGCAGAGATGGGTGTCCATGCACTGGTAGCTGCCACACCACTTTGGAGGGTAAGGTGAAAAGAGCTTGGTGAGCAACTGAGAAGGGCTTGGGCATCACGCCTTGCTCATGTAAGTTACCAGGAGGATTTAGGAGTTGTAAATCACACCGTGTAAAATATAGCATCTGATACACTACATGATAAACCCAAACTGCACGCTGAAAGGAGGCGACAGCAGGAGAACCATCTCCTTTACCAGGCGAGGTGAATTGCCACCCCCAAGCACAAAAAGCACGTGGGAAAAGGAAAGGTACAGAGAGCAAGAGACGGGGAGGGGAAAGTCAGGGATGAAAGGGAAATGGAAACAGAGAGAAAAATAACAACACCTAGCAGGCAATGCTGTAGGTCAGCTGCAAAGTGTGAGTTAAGCAGGTGGACGGGCTGAACCCAGCCAGCCAGGGGCTTGCAGGGCACTAAGAGCTCGTTCATGATGTACCACCACGGTTTCTTTGCTTCAGGGTGGTTACAATACAAAGAGATGGCACAAGGAACTAAAAGGTCAACTTGCTGCTGAAGAAGATTAAACCCGAAACCAAAAGGTGGCTGCAGCACCGCAGCAATAACCCATCTATTTTCATTAAACCCAAACTTTCCCTCGCAGCACTGCTGTGCAGGTGTAGCTCGCTCCCATCCCCACCCTGGCACTCAGAGCACTCAGGGCAAGGAGCGGGAGCAGCTTCCTCAGCTGATTTGACTTTCACATCAGTGGGCATCCAGCAGGTGCTGCCAGGTACAGCAGCCGTCCTCAGCGATGGTCAGAGCCAAATTCCCACGTGGGTCAGAGAGGTATCGTGCCCTGTGAATCCAGCAGGATGCTCAGGCTGCATCCATTCACTGCGGTGTTTATTTTAAAAGACAGCACCGTGATAAAACGCTGCAGTCATGTCTGCATCAAAGGCTGCTTCCCTTGATTAATGTGTGTTTGACTGACTTGCTACGAGATCTAAATAGAAGTTACATGACACTCCTCAGCCGAGCGCTTTTCTTCGCATGATGTGAAAATGACCTGTCATTATAAAGAGTGAAAAAGAAAACGAGGCTGCGTGTTTGAAAAGAAGCTGTGCAAAAGACCTGGCAAAGCACGTCAATATTTGTAATTACGGTGTCAGCTGCCGCTCTGTGCGCACTCGCCCACGACGGCTGGTTTCCCGCAGACCCCCCTCTGCCCAGTTTGCCCCATCCCCACCACTGCAACGCTCCCTAATTTCCCTTCTACGTGCCTGATGGCTGCCCACATTTCCCTTCCCTGCCACGGCCACAAAATTAGCCTGGGCTGCACAGAAATCATTGGTGCTGGGGCGGAGATGTGGGTGCTGCAGGGCAGGGTGGCACGGGTTAGCCAGAACCCCTGCGCCTTTCCTGGCCTGGGTCAGTCCCACCTGGCTGGCACCTAAATCCAAGCAATCGTGCATTGCTGAGGCCTCCTGGCAGCTGACAAATCTGGTTCAAGTTGACCCAGGTTTAAAATCCATTAGAGAGCAGAAGCGCAGGCTGACGGGCAGACAGTATGATTGCACCTGACTATTACCTTGAGAAAAAGGAGGTTAAAAAAATCTATGGAGGACAAAAGTCACTAATGCACCATACAATAAAAAAAGGCTGATAAGACTGAGCTAAGGAGGAAAACAGAGTAAATCCCAAGGAGCAGAAACACTGAAAGATTTTTAAATTCTTGCTCTCCATTTCAAATTTCCCCAGGTCTAACTACAACGCCAACCATTCAACAACCCGAGGACTTGAGTGAGCTTTTTGCTACCAGCACATGCAAAGCCCAATGTCCAAACAGATGGTTTATTTAAAGATCGGGTACGCACCGTCATCAATATCCAGACTACGGCAGGGCTGCTGCAAGGAAAAAGATGTAATTGTAGACGTGAAAACCCTCCAGTTTGGATAGAGACCGGGCAAGAGTAATCACAGCACTTCGTAAAGTTGTAGAAATGCAATGAAAGAGCTGAAGTGTGTGTAATTACCAGGGAGAGGCATTGTAGCCAAGCAGATAAAGTTAATTATACAGTAAAGGAGCATTTGCAGTTGACGTGGTAGTAATCATAGTCAACAGAGAAGTGCCCAGCAGAAGGAACCGCATACAATAAAAGCAATCATTTGGTGAAAGTGTACAGCACAAATTACCTAAAAAACAAAGGCAGACACAGGCACACAGCTGGAGACCACAAACCTTAATGAAGATTTGTGGATTTCTGCAAACAATGGGATGTCTTACAAGGCAGCAGACCTTATCCCGCACCCCACAAAACTCTGGCATCAGGCTGTGGGAGGTATCGATCTCAGTGCTTCACGTGGGCAGGCGAGGGCCAGGTCCACCAGCAGGCTGTGAATATTCCCATCGCTTCTCCATAGCAGCGCTGGTTACACCCCAGGTGCTGCTGCTGTATATGAAACAAGTGCACCGGTAGGTCGCTCCAAAACACCAATTTTCTGAAAGTAAATCTGCATTTAGGAGAAAAGATGCAGTCAGTGGACCTCATTTTGGAATTCAGGCTCACGGTCTGCCATTTCGTACAGTTAGCAAGCAGCCACACAACACCAGCCTCCACCTGACTGCGTTAAAAGCCACAATACCTGAAATAAAAGGCAGCCTTTAGGGTTCAAGTGTAAACCACTTGCACGTGGGTTTGTTACAAATGTCAGTGCAGTGGTGCTGTGTTTGATGATGGCATAAATTCAGGGCAGGAGCCTGGATCATGACAAGAGTCCAAAATTCTGCACAGCAAATCAGGGCCAGGCTCTGGGCAGGAGGACGCCCTGCCTCATGACACCCTTTTCACCCAGGAACTTTCTCCTCCTGAATGCTTTCCCGGCAACAAATAAAAGTGCTTTCTCACCTATTAAACAGGAGTTGCCCAGGAGATTCCTGGAGCACCCGCATCCAACAGCTTCAGCGCCCTGCCAGCCCCAATGTGCAGGGCTGCTGCAGGTGGCGGAGCAAAGGAAGAGCCCCAGCCACCCACCT